TATTTTTAAAATGCAGTGGCCAAAGATAAAGAGAGAAATTGAATGTTATTGCCAAGTGTGAATGTGTTTGCCAAATAAGAGTAGACAAGGGGTGAAATAAAATTTAACAGCCTGACGGGGTCTGTGTTAGCGTATACCCTCTTCACCTTGAAAGATGATTCAGTCTCTTTCAGCAGATGCTAGCTTTACAGGAACAGGACAATAACAGAGCAATATCCTTTACCAGTTGGTCCCAACAGGACCTATAACCAACATTTCAGACCATGGTTGAAAAATAATCATACAGAAAAAGCAATAAGAGTTTATGACTTTGTATGTGGTTGTTCCTAACAAGCTGCTTGTCTGACTGGGGGGGTGACATTGGGTAAACTTATTTTACCTGCAATATGATGTCCATCTTTTGATGGAAACACCTTTCCTTCTTTGACTTTTTAAAATATCCTGCCTTTCCTGAAGCTTCTTGAAATAATAGCCATGGTTACATGGCACTAAAGTGTGAATAGCTATCTCTAGTCTGCTGAGAGACTGGCACTGGAGGCTTAGGTAATTGTAGGTTTGAGACCTCAGAGGTCACGTCCTAAGAATGTGTTATTTAGATGCTTGAGAGAAGCTGCCTGTGGAGCAAAAGAATGACAGCACAGAAAATAAGAATAGAGTGTCAAAGAGAAAGAGATGCTTGGAAGAAAGACACTAGATTGTTGACAGTGGACAACAGAGGATCAACTGTAGAATCACAGATGCTGAATTCTTTCAAGTGCCTGCTTGTACTAATATTAAGATTAGCTCTGGATGATTCACTTTGATTTTGGCTGTGTCAGGTTGTAGACTTTGAAGTGCTCTTGGGGGTGCTGTGGTTTTTGTGAGAGATGCATCAGAAGTGAAAATGAGCCCCTGTGACAACAAAAGGCCTGTGAGGAGCCAAAAGATCAAAAGGTGCTCCAAGCATTTTTTGGGCAGGCATGATTATTGACTGACCTGCACTTTTTGCAGTCTTCTCCTTTGGGGTATTCACAGTAGATTTAAAAGGGATAATCATAAGAGGTCGGGATGTAGAGGGATAATATTATGCCTTATACTGGGCTGCAGACAAAGGTAGTGAACACACAACAAGCTTTCAGAAGCCAGGGACTGAAGTGTGTAAAATTAGATACAGTGGTTTTAGCAGTGAGACTTGTAATTGGCAGCCTGCTCTTAAAAGATGTCTTAGTGAAATGTAAATGTCCATCATGCACATGGCCAATTATGTTATTGCTTTGGAGGAAGAATGTAGCTGTCACAAGGGTGGTGTGTCATTTTACATGGTGTTCGTTGCACAAGACTGTCATGTTGCTAGATTATTTAGTAATTACTAGACAATGTTTGCTTTTGAGTTTTTGGAGTATAGCTGTACAGTATAGTATAATATATATTCATTACACATTTTGTGTGATAAAATTGTCCATGCACTCTTTGCAGCATATCTACTCTGCTGGTCTGCTACAGTAATTGTCTTTAATTAGTGGGGTTTTGTTTTTGATTGAATGCTTCTGTGTAGACTGTGGCAAAGACTGCTGTAAGTCAACTTTGAGATCCGATGGGCAAATCATTGACAGTCCATGTGGTTTGTGTGTTTTTTGTTTGTTTGTTTGTTTGTTTGTTTTTTTTTTAACTGTTGCTGCTATCTTACAGGTGTGGGACCATGTGGTGTTTTAGCCAGGACCTTTATCCCATGTCATCCTAATCTTCAGACTTTCCACTATTTACTATCACATTGCATTGCATCCTTTCTGTACAAACAAATGTTTCAGAACTAACTCTAAGCACAAGGGATGTAAAAAGTCTTTTCTGCTCAGCATGAGTGATCAATAGACAGTTGTACCTTTTATAATGCAACACAACCAAGTGTGTGCTGGAAGATGCCTCAGCTGTCCACCGCAGAGCCATGCAATGACGATGGCATTATTTGTATATTCCAAACTACAGACACCCCATTGAATGATGCCTCACTAATGAAACAGAAGGCAGTTGTTTTTGCCTATTTTATGCCCAATCATCACAATATACATGGCTGAGGACCTGTTTTATTACTGTGTAAGTGGCTGTGTTTGAAACTGTATTTTCAGGTGTCCTTTTCTTTATCTGAACATCTCTTGCCTGCAAGGAATAGAGGCTGAAGCAGCTCAGTGCTAGTGGGATCAGTAATAGTTGTAAATCTTGCTTCAGACTTCAGTTGGGGGGGGCAGTGTCTCTATTCTCAATTCCCTTGTCTAATTGAGCATTCACACCTTGCTCTGTAGCTCAGCTGTGACAATTCCCCTGCTAAAATATCATGCACAGCTCAAACAGTGTACTGTCATAAACACTAGCAAAGCACCAGACCTAAACATACGGTATGTGTAGGTTGAGAGAAACTCTTGGAAAATACATGCACATATAGGCAATTTTTTTTTCTGCCCTGTACTTCTACATATACTCAAACAGAATATGCTTTGAATGTTTTTGACAGCTCAGTGGTTGCACAAACCTTTTGCAAATCAAAGAAAGGGTAACAAAAAGCAATTCTCCCAATTGCTTTGCTGTTTTAACACATTTCTGCCTGCATTTCAAAGGGAAAATTTAAATTTTTCAAGCTTTATCTATGTAATTGCCTGGGGAAATTGGCTTTGTCCTTCGTCTTCCTATTCTTTGTTTTTGCACAGGCAAAAAAAATCTTCAAGACATCTGTCTTTGTCAGTTAAGTATGGACAGGAAATAATATGCAGTCCCCGAGGATAGCACTGAATGGATCTACTTTAGTATGGTGAATACAACTCTCTGGAGCAGACATGTTGAACATACACCATACAGGGAATATAGCTCTGTCATTCCTGTTGCAAAATACAGTCATAGCAAGCTATTACCACATTTCTGCCCTGCCATAACCTTGATTCTACAGTGCAACACTGTAAAAAAGTATCCTTAGCTTACTTGTTCTGTTATAAATTAAATGGAGGAAAAACGGCAAAGGAAAATAAACTGCTCCTTAGTCCATATACATTTTATTCATATAGTACACCATTATCAATCTAGGAGTGCTTGTTAAGGTCAATTTGTTCTCATTTTGGTCAGAAAATTTCTTTGGATGTCCTGTCACTGTGCCTACAGGGACAGTAAGAGTGGTGCTTCTTACCCGTTCAGATTGGCACAGACAAAGTCAAACAATAGAAGTCTGACTGTTAATTATCATTGAATGCATTCAGAAGTGGAGAAGGGATTTCCTTCAGCAAATCCGTCCCCGAAGCCTCAGCAGTAAAGTGTGCCTGTTGTTTGATTTGAGTGCTGCTTTACTGTGCTTTTTAATATTTTGCTATATGAACCCTATGGGCCATTGGTATCATTCTGTCACATTTATGGTGTGAAATGTTTTAGATCTTAAAAATAGCATAATAAAGACAATCCCCCCCCAGCACTAAATGTGTTACTGGTAGCATTTGAACCGTAGTACATGCTTGTATTGAGGCTTCAGTATAATTACCAAAAATAAACAAAACCATCATTCAGAAAAGAAGCAGCCTCCACTGGGAAAGATAGCAGGAACAATTAGCAGCATCCTCTTTGTGACCTAAAGCAGTAGGTTTTATATGATATCTTAATTTTGAATAACATTTGCACGGCTATTACTACATGGTGTGGACAGAGGCTAATTGTCTCCATTTGATTGTGTTAATTATGCCAAGGAATGACACTAAATTAAACAATGATATATTAATCATTTCATTAGTGCTACACGTAGCACCTTAAACAAGGACATCCAAGGTTAATTAGTGAATGTGCTCTGAGTAAAGCTAAAGGCAATACACACTGTCATCAGTTTATTGGGTACAACAAGCTAAAACTAATGCAACAGTCCTGCTATTCTCCCCTCAATGTGGTGTTTTATTTGTGGTTCAAACTGTTGTAGAGGGGTGTTTTAGAAGATGTCGTTTGTGTAGCTTTTGAAGTGTACTGCATTAGAGCGCCTGTCCTCATATACTGTATATATAAATGGGGTAAACAAAATAATACACCTGCTACTATAACAGCATGGCATCAGAGAAGGCATCTTCAAAATGATTATACAGTTGAATCAACACGTATCAAACAGTTTCAACACAAACTGAACATTTTCATTTTAATGTAGGAAGAGTTTATTGCAGCACTGTTGGATTAGACTGCATTAGTTTTAGCTTGTTGTACCCAATAAGCTGCCAGCTGGGTCTATGTCCTGTTACAAATTAAAATGTTTTTGTTACTACATTTTTGGAAGACTTGTGTTGTTAATTAGTGATTGATCTATTCTAAACCTCAACACTAAAGTACTTTTCAGATGTTGTCAGACAAACAAAACCAATGCCTGCATTTTTAGCAACTGTCTGGTGTGTGCTTTGTTTGCATCTTGCGTTTTTGCCCCTTGTAAGGGTTTGTCATTTGACAGAAGATCTAAACACAAACATTAATTGCCCTAAGGGGAATAACCGGCTTTACTACAGGTATGGCAAGCACATGACGGTGTCAAATATATTAATGTCATTATCAAATACAGTGATGGAAAATGAGGAATAGCAACAACAGTAGAACAAATCTAACAAATCATTTTTAGGTTGAG